AGACTACCATATACCGATTTCCAGCCTCGACCACGAAACTACGCTCTCAGAGACTCCCCATGATATCGTTGATGATCACCTGCACTTGCTCCGCCAACTCCGCCACCCGCTCCCAATCTTCCGCCTTGACAAGTGGCGCGATGAACTGGAACTTGTCCATATGCCAGCGCAAGGATTCCCGACGCAGCACCGTCCGGCTAGACACGCCTCGGACCACCGTCCGGTTCTTATGGAGGAGGAACGCGCGCACGGCAGCCCCGGTCAGCGCGGTGTGTCCGCCGAAAGATGGCCACGGCAACTGCTCCACCGACCATGTGCGAGCAACCCGTTTCTGTAACTGGTCCCACTTCTCATCGTACAGCTCGAGCTGCTGCACCTTCTCCCCCGGACCTGCCTTCCTTCGACGCTGTGGCTCTTCCTCCTCGCGCTCGCGATCACAGCGCTGCTGCTCACGCTCACGGCGCTGCCCCTCCTCACGTTCTCGACGCTCCTCCTCCTCACGCTTCCGGCACTCCTCCTCCTCACGCTCGCGGCGCCGCTTCTCCTCACGCTCGCGGCGCCGCTTCTCCTCGCGCTCGCGACGCTGCTTCTCCTCACGCTTCTGGCGCTGCTGCTCCTCCTTGCGACGCTGACGAACCTGCTCCTCGCGCTGGAGGCGAGCCTGCTCGCGCTCACGGTGCAGCTCTGCGATATGCTCATACTCGTTCCACCACTCCTTCTGACGCACGCGATAGTTGTCGTCACGCCGGCGTGCTAACTCCTCCTCCATCTTCTGTTTCCTAGTCTCCTCGCGTTGGCGTTCGAGTTCCTCCGCCGCTCGTGTGCGCTCGTCGGTCTTGACTCTACCCTGAGCCTCGCGGCGGCGCTTGATATCGCGGAGGTACCGTTCGTCGAGCTTCACGCGCTCTCCTGCCTGTTGCATTCTACGCCATGTCGCGCTGCGGCGCTGCTCTTTGCCGCGTTTACGGGGAAAGGCGCCCGGCATGGCCAGGACGGAGCTCTGCTGGCCAGCGGTGCTGTCACATTCGGTCGGCTCCTCGTCATTCTGCGCCGCGTGTACGTTCTTCATGCTGGTATTAGGTGGGTACGGAGTCCAACGGTAGTCGCAGCGCCGAGGATTGTTCGGATTGCAGTGGCGGTGACGATGGGCCTCCGTGGAGCGTTGTGGCGAACTTTCGAATAAACCGTGAATGACGAATGAGAGTACCATCAAGAACAAGATCTAGAAAGCCCACGTTGTAGGTATGTGGGTATGGCATGAACGAGAGGTGCTCTTATCACTGTTTCCACTGGGTCAGCAATAAGTGGCGGCGTAGCTCTTTGCTTCGTCTTGTCACATCCTGCCTGTGCTTTGCGCAAGGGCGTCTTATCGTCTTTCCCGTCTTTCCCTCTTTTCGTGTCCTCTTGCTTTGTACGTTAAGACCCCTTTGCATGTCAAAGGCGGACTAAGCGCCTCTTTGTCACATCGGCCGAGCATGGCCGGCGGGACTCCGGTCCCTCCTTGTACACGTGGTCTTGACGTGACTATGCTACGATGCACTATACACTGTTATGTAGCTCAGACAGCTCAGCTCGCGGCACATGGATACCTCCATGGATACGCGGGAGTATAGTTTCAGTGCGCCGTGACTCTGCCGCATCATGGACATGACCGGTTTCAGATAAGCCGTGACAACCTCGCATTCTCGCATTGTAAGTCTTTCCCTGCCAAAGCAAAGGCTTTGAACTGACGCATATGCCACCCAGATTTTCTCGATATCACACTCACAGCATCTCCTGTGGCACGCGAGCGGCGACATATATGATACGTCTCAGACGAGCTGTTGAGTTAGATCATCAAGTCCTGTCTTCGAAGAGCGGAATGGTCATCAAGCTTGTCTCTACCACTCGATCCCGCCTCTCATGATTGTATAGGAGCTTAGATCATCTCGCAAGAACGACCATCATGGCTCGAGTGTATCACGACCGGCACCTTCTGAATCCGTAAGACATATCGAGTCGAAGAATGGGACCACTCATCGAGCCCACCTACGGTCCAGGCCTTTCAGGGTACGTTTGTTTGATGTCATTCAGGTTACATTCGACGGCTGGGTAATAACGTACACAGGAAAATCAGCGATGTAATGCTGCGCGTGACTCGGATCTGCAGCCTTCCACGTCCAATCTCCAGTGTCAGGCGGGCCGGTCGCCTGAACCTCCCCTGCAACATAAGACGACAGTGAGAAGACACGACACGGCTGTAATTCAATCCGATGAGCTACGTTTCATTGCACTGATTGAAAGCGATAGATCGCTCTTCGCAGACAGAAGACCAAACAGTACGATGCTGCAGAATGCAGACTCGACACGGCGGTAGAGCCCGGCTCAGCGGTTTCACTATACGAGATGCAAGCCATTCAGCGAGTGCCTACGGAAGTAATCCTACATGGAAAGGCCACGTATGCTCTGACAGAGTGCCGACTCAGTCGAGCGCGCAGGTAGTCTTTCTGGATTTGCGAGTGCCCATGCGATGCCTCCCAGCTATGACAGTCATGGCCCTTCGCCCTGTACTCCTAACCGATTGAGCCAATCGCGCGTCTGTGCGGAAAAGAGTGTGTAGTAGATGGCAATGGTGACGACTGTCCAAGATCAAGTACTTGTGCGGCGATACTATGTGATAACAGCGTATAAGACATGCTGAACATGACCGTCGTTGAATACACATGTCCAGAAACCTTGAGAAACGCCGAGCTCATACGGGATTAACCCATGCACGGACGTATGCTCTAGCGAGCATACCGGCCAAGATGAGTATACAGATAGAGAGCATAGTGCCCATGACTGGATGCATCTGCAAGACGTCAATAGCATTCGACATAGCAGTTCGAGGGACGACGCTACCTTCTGACGGACCGACATGGTAAGTGTCGCCGCCGGCTGAACAGTTGGAGAAGTATAAGTATCGGCTGTTCACGGCATGTTATCCAAGAGGGTATGTAAGGTCAAGATCAAGAGCTCGCCTGATGGGGCATCGCTTGCGGAGAGATAGATGGGTTCGCGCGGCGTCCAAGCATCCAACCCTGCAGTACGGTTTAAGAAGGTGAATAAGACGGTATAGAGACATGCCTGAGGTATTCTCACCACCAGATCTCCGCAGTCGGTTGAGCAAGGCCTGTCACGTACTCATCAGAGAAAGAGATATGGGGGATCAGTCCCAGAAAGGATCATCGCACTTCGAGTATGACCATGTCTGCGTGATCGTGACCTTGGAACGGAGATTTAGATGAACGGTGCCGACTTCGCTGAGATGGTAGGCGTCAAGCACCTGTATCATCTCCACTTTCCGTATCGAGTGACACAAGAGGTGGCGGACCGTCGTCGTCGTCGGAGGATGGGTCATGATTGTCCTGCATCCGTACTAAACGTCGATCAGGTCCGACATCGGGATGCTCCGCATAGGACATATGCTGTAGCCATAGTTTATGCGACACCAGCGTCCCCGGATGGCACAGAGCGCAGGAACAGTAGACATGGCGTGGATGAACCATAGCTTCGACGGACGTGGTCGGAGGGCAAACTCGGCTGACTAGCGTCGCCGATGGA